ATATGGAAGAAAGGGGATTTAAGTGACTTTGAATGTGGCGTGGTTGTTGGTGCCAGATGGGCTGCTCTGAGTATTTCAGAAACTGCTGATCTACTGGGATTTTCACGCACAACCATCTCTAGGGTTTAATGAGAATGGTCTTGTTACACTTGTTACAAATGAAGTCTGCAGAAGAGCATCTTTGAACACACAACACATCCAACCTTGAGGCGGATGGGCTACAGCAGCAGAAGACCACACCGGGTGCCGCTCCTGTCAGCTATGAACAGGAAACTGAGGCTACAATTCACACAGGCTCACCAAAACTGAACAATAGAAGATTGGAGAAATGTTGCCTGCTCTGATGAGTCTCCATTTCTGCTGCCACATTCGGATGGTCGGGTCAGAATTTGGCGTCAACAACATGAAAGCATGGATCTATCCTGCCTTGTATCAACGGTTCAGGCTGGTGGTGGTGGTGTAATGGTGTGGGGGAGATTTTCTTGGCACACTTTGGGTCCATTAGTACCAATTGAGCATGGTGTCAACGCCACAAACTACCTGAGTTTTGCTGCTGACCATGTCCATCCCTTTATGAGCACCGTGTCTCCATCTTCTGATGGCTACTTCCAGCAGGATAACACACCATGTCAAAGCGCAAATCATCTCTGGTTTCTTGAACATGACAATGAGTTCACTGTACTCAAATGGCCTCCACAGTCACCAGTTCTCAATCCAATAGAGCACCTTTGGGATGTGGTGGAACGGGAGATTTGCAACCTACAAATCTGCAGCAACTGTGTGACGCTATCATGTCAATATGGAGAAAAATCTCTGAGGAAAATTTTCAGTATCTTGTTGAATCTATGCCATAAAGAATTAAGGCAGTTCTAAAGGCAAAAGAGGGTAAGTTGTACCTAATAAAGTGGCCGGTGAGTGTATGTGTGTGTGTGTGTGTACATAGTTTTCTTTCTATTTATGATTCAATTCCCTAGAACTTTTCCAATGCATGTGTACTGAAAAAGAAAGATTTTCATATTCATATGTTTAAAACACACACCTTTACTTTTTAATATATTTTTTTGTTTTATGAATGAATTATAAATTATTATTATTATGATAATTTATTTTATGCCAATGTTTTTGCTTATATTTGACCCTAGACCCTCTTATGTCGCACTGGAATATTTTTGGCAGTGGCCAAAGATTGTAAAGGTGAAAATTGTTGATTTTTTTTCTTTTGTGAAGATAAGTGAAGATCGTGTTTCATTAATATATTTTGTAAAATTCCTCCTGTAAATCAAAACTCAATGTTTGATTACTAATTTGCATTGCTTTATTTAGACGGCTTTAAACATTTTCTTAATATTTTGAATCTTTAAAAAACTCAGATTCTAGATTCTTAAAACAAAAAAAAAATAGCAGCCAAATATTGACCGATCCTAATAAACTGTCAATTATAAGGCTTTCGGATCATGTATAAACCTCAATAAAATAGGTTCTTTCATGGTTTTTTATTTGTGGTTCATACTTGTCTTAGAATTTGACATAAAAAACAACATTCCAGACCGAGATTACCACAAAAACAATCCCTTAGTCTCTAAATCATGTGATGTTTTAAACCTCGAAGCATGAAAAGTTTGTATGCATGCCTTGTAAAACACAGAAGAGGGGTTTCTGGGATATTCTTAAACTTTTGAAATATGATTTATGATGGTGCCTTATTATGTGAATGATCTATGCATATTTAATCCTAAACATTATCCCTTTAAGCTTTGACAGCATGTACTGACTCATTAGCTTAGGAAGTCAATCTCGTTTTGAAACTGCCACTATGCTGACACAAAGACAATTGGAGCTCCGCCCTCTTTTGAAATAAAATCTTATTTTAATTTAAAGCGACAGTCACCAAATAGGCACAATTAGAATCAAAACCTAAAAGGGTCAGTTTCAGAGAGTTAAAAAACATTATTTGTGGGGTATTTAGAGCTGAAACTTCACATACATGCAATAGGGATGTCACAGACTTATTTTACATCTTGTAAAAAGGGACATAATAGGTCGCCTTTAAATCACATTTTGAGCTGAATACTAGTATCTTGCAAAATATTATGTTCTGTCATCATGGCATTAAAGTCAAACGAAATTAGTTAGTAAACAATTATGTTTAAAAATGTATTGCAAAAAAAGTTACTCTTTATTTAAACAGCATTTGGGAAATATTTTTGAAAAAGGTTTAAATGAGGACTTCACTGTATTTTGTCTCATAATAATTAAAGCTTGATTAAAACCCAACACAGAACCTTATAAAGTCCGCTTGAAGTCAAAATTCATTCATTCATTCACTTTCCTTCGGCTTAGTCCCTTATTTATCAGGGTTCGCCACAGCGGAATGAACCGCCAACTATTCTGGGATATATTTTATGCAACAGATGCCCTCCCAGTCACAACCCAGTTCTGGGAAGCACCCATACACACTCACATTCAACCACACTCATACACTTCGGCCAATTTTGTTACTCCAATTCCCCTATAGTGCATATGTTTGGACAGTGGGGGAAACCGGAACACCTGGAGGAAACCCACGCCAAATTGGGGAGAACATGCAAACTCCACACAGAAATGCCAACTAGTCTAGTCAGGACTTAAACCAGCGAGTTTCTTACTCTGAGGCCACAGTGCTAACCACTGAGCCACTGCGCCACCTGCATGTTGTGTTACAATAAATGTATCATTTCAACCAATGCCTTTCTTCAATATAATCTGGATAAGTTGGCGGTTCATTCCGCTGTGGTAACCTGTGATGAATAAAGGAACTAACCCGAAGGAAAATGAATGAACTTTAATCTGTACAAAACTGTGTGATGGTTGAAATTGATAATAATAGAGGCACTTTATAAACTGAAGCATCTAAACCACACGTCTGTTCCTCACAGATGTCTGTGGCTGTTTAAACTGGAGTTCATGCTTCCACTTTTAATGCAGAAGTCGTTTCCTAATCTTTTACATGTCAGTCATCAGAGTGATGTAATCCAATATTCTCTGTGTCTGGGTTTGCGCAGGACCTGTGATTATATAGAGGAACTTTGGTGGCTTGTGGGTTTCAAAATACAAGATTATTTTTCGTTAACTGCGGAAATATATATTACTTGAAATCCATCTTTCTAACCTTGTCCATGTTAGACTAGCATGTTTGGCCATTTAGGTAGGTGTTTACTAAAGGGTCTTCAAAATAAACCTTCTATTATCTTTTTAAAACTAAAGATAAAAGCTACTGAAACTGTTTTGAATGATAATGCATATTTTATCAAGTATTCCATTAATGAATAATGTTTATATGTGTATTTTTGGACATTTTGTCCTGAAAGTGTTGGCTTAAAGACTCTGCTGCAGTATGCTTATTTTGATGGACTTTCCTGAATCATAAATTCAGCATTAATTATTATGAAATAATTAAGTCTAATTGTCATTTTTTGTTGTTGTTTGTGTTTAGTTTATGTTCATGTTTATGTATCTGAACTTAAATACTGAACTACACTGTTCCAATTTACTATGATCTTTAATGTGAAGCTGCTTTGACACAATCTACATTATAAAAGCGCTATACAAATAAAGGTGAATTGAATTGAATGTTGTGCATTATTTGTATTTTCTGTTGAAATTGTGTTCATCATAGTTAGTTTTACACTGTTATATATTATCTGCAGGTATATTTACTATAGGAAATGAACTGTAGAAAAAACGTACATCAGTGTGTAAAGTTTATGGGTGATTCTAGATTTGCGGGTGTTTTGGGTCTCCAAAATAAATCTTCTATTATTTTCTAAAGCAAAAAATGTAGGCTAATGAAATAGTTTTGAAAAATAATGCATATTTGACCAACTCTTCTATTAAAAATATTGTTTGTATGTGTATTTATGAACATTTTGTCCTGAAAACTGGACAAAATATTTTTATAACTGATATTTTGATTGTTTTTTGTGAATCGAAAATTCTGCTTCAGTTATTATGAAATAATTAAGTCTAATTGTCATTTTTTTGGTGTGTATTTAATGTATGTTGTGTATTATTTGTCATTTCTGTTGAAAATGAGATTATCATAGTTAGTTTTACACTGTTATATATGATCTGCAGGCATATTTACTGTAGAAAGGAATACATCAGTGTGTAAAGTTTGTGTGGGATTCTAGTATTGTGGGTGTTTTGGGTCTCCGAAATAAACCTTCCATTATCTTTTTAAAACTAAAGATGTCGGCTAATGAAACAGTTTTTATTAATAATGCATATTTTATCAAGTTATCCATAAAGTATGTGTCAATGTGCATTTATGGACAGTTTGTCCTGAAAATGTTAACTTAAAGACTTAAAGTTTATTTTTTGATTAATTATCGTGAATCGTAAATTCAGCTTCAATTATTACAAAGTAGTCTAATTGTCATCTTTATTACTCAGTTTATGTTGTGTATTATTTGTCACTTCCTGTTGAAATTGACTTCATCACAGTTAGTTTTACATAGTTTTATATTAATATTACAGCCATATTTACCAAGAATAAACTGTACAAAAAATACATTTGTGTATTTTTTTTAAAAGGTATTTTTGTATAAGATTTTTTTAAAGGTATTTTTATATAAGGGATGTTCTAGAATAACAAATAAAGCTTTTCACACTGTAAGTTTTGACACTCTTTAGGAAAATTAACACGTTTTTTTTCTAAACTAATTATGGTTTTGCTACACTAATACAGTTTAACAATTATATGTTGCAAAACTGGTAAAATTAATGCCAATCAACGTGCCAAAATCTGGATTTATACAACTGTGGTTGTTTCTGAAGGGCATTAAAATTCAACGAAACGAATCGGTGCATACGTTTTCAACAGGTTTGTTCAGGAGCGAATCGTTCGAACGAACCGATTCAGTGAAGTAGATCAACGCAGCGTTTAGGTTAGACGAGTCGCTGAGTCGGCTTTTAACACGGAGATCTCTTCTGAGCTTTGATTAGTCAATGACATCGTTAAGTAGGCGGGACCAGCAGCTCTGTGTGGTCGAGACGGCTGTCAATCGTGTATTCAAAGACACGCCCACACCTCTCAGAGTAGAGCTGCACATTGAACGTACATACATATCAGAAGCCGTGTGCGCTTTCGGATGTACGCTCGTGCACCTCTCGCACATATGACAGGATATAAGCTCGAAAGAAGAAGAAATGCCAATCTCCGTCATATGCCGTGCGGGTTACACATCATTACACGTAGTTTTATAGAGGTGAGCGGCGATGTGTGGATACGTAATAATAACGCTGACTGACGGAGCGGGGTCGCGCGCTTGTTAACGCACAACACTGTGTGCGGCTCGCGCGTAAACTTTGAGAACTTCACAGCATCACTTCTCATTTTTGACGGGCGAGGTGAAACAACAGCGCAAAGCATGGCGACACAAAACGACTGCTCTGTCAAGGTCTCTTTAAGGTAAGCCTTGCTGTCAGAATCCGCCGGCTGTACCCATACAGCCTACATTTCACGCTGTTTCACATGTAATGCGCTGGTAGTGATGTTATATATACATGTATATAGATGTGGTATTCATCAAGCACTGCTTTACTATTTACACTGACAACATTATATGAGTTTATATACTATATAAACAGCAGTGTTGCATTTCTATGGGTGTGTACTCAGCAAGGTAAGACCCAAATGGACATTAATAAATATGATATTATAAATGATCTGCAGTTATGAAACGCATGCACGCGAACTAGTTTCCATGTACTGCAACATGCATGTTACATGCATGCATAATGACATGCATGATGCACAGACTCAGAAGTTTGCAATGCATATGGCATACAGTAAGGTGCATTTAATTCATAAGTTTTGCATAACTGCTGAAGGACATCAGATGATGCAGGAATGTCTGCAAGGTGATAATGACACAAAGACGCGTGCGCGCGCTCCATCTCAGCGTCCTTATTTCCTTTGTTAAACCCCCTAATCGGGGTTTATCATCGCAGTAGGTTAATGTCTTATTGATTCGCCTTTTTTTGTGTGCAACGAGCACCGGAATTGCCAATCACATCAGTAATGCCGTCATGCAATGCTTTAACCGGAGCGCGTGTCAGTCAGTGCGCGGCGCCGGGCTGCAGCATGCATGACTCGAGGCGGTGGTCTGAGCATTGTCTGGATCCCCCCTCAGATCTGCCTGATGGGAGAAGATGGAGCAGTTTAGGAGAACGAATACACTGTCTGGGTGTGTAATGTGTGCGTATGTGTAAGCCCCTCTGGTGGGCATGCTTTGTGTAGTTTTAAAGGGCCAAACAGACCTGCTGTTGCGGTTCTGCAATATTAATATATTAGGAAGTGTGACTGCAGGTGCGTGCTGGTTTCTGATGTACTCTATTTGTATAGTGTGTGTGTGTATAATGTTGGTCACACCTGCAAACGGAAAGAGAAGGAGGGGGGATTACATCAATGAATGAAGTGGACCCACGTGTTCTGCTGAGCATCACAAAGGGAGAGTGCTATTTAAAGAAGACCCCTTCTGCTCCCTTTTTACAAGATGCAAAATAAGTCTCTCGTGTCCCAGCTTAAAATAGTACACAAATAATGTTTTGTAACTGACCCTTTTAGGCTTTGAGCATAATTGTGCCGTTTTGGTGACAGTCGCTTTAAATTTAAATGAGATTGGGCTCTTTTTTTAAAAGGGGGCGGAGCTACAAACACCAAACGTGTCAGCATAGTGGCAGATTTACAGAGTCTCCACATTTATAATGCAACTGTAGAGTTTTCTCTGATTACACATTCTAGACTTCTCCAATCTTGATGTCCACATAAACTGTACTATTTTTTTGTACAGTTGATTGTGTTTTCATTATTGCCTCCAAGTGCACTTGTGAAATTTGTGTCCCGTGATGACCATGATGCCGACAACATTACGTAGCATACACTGTAAAAGGAGATTTGTTGAATTTACTTAAAAATGTGTAAACATTCATTCATTTCATTTTTCTTCAGCTTAGTCCTTTATTTATCAGAGGTCGCCACAACGGAATGAACCGCCAACTATTCCAGCATATGTTTTACGCAGCGGGTGCTCTTCCAGCCGCAACCCAGTACTGGGAAACACCCATACACATTCACATTCACGCTAACCCTAACCCTAACCCTACACACTCATACACTACAGCCAATTTACTTCATCCAATTGACCTATAGCGCATGTGTTTGGACTGTGGGAGAAACTGGAGCACCTGGAGGAAACCCACGCCAACACGGGGAGAACATGCAAACTCCAAACCAACAAGCGACCTTCTTGCTGTGAGGCGACAGTGCTAACCATTGTGCCACCCGTGCTGAATCAACACAGTTCTTGAGTTGTTTTGGGATAACTTAATTGTTTTATGTTCAATCCACTTAAATTTGTATAAACAATTAAGTTAACTTAATCAATTTGTGTTTGGACAACATGAAGGAATTGTGTGGAACCCAGCATTTTTTTACAGTGTATTTGCATAATTATAAACATTGACTTAAGTCAATATTACGAGTTAACCCCCACACTGGAAAGCACTTTTATAGCAGAATAAGCCAGAAGCTCGCTCACTGCAACCCTCACGTGGTTGGCCACTGAAGCTAAGCAGGGCTGCGCCTGGTCAGTACCTGGATGGGAGACCACATGGGAAAGCTAGGTTGCTGCCGGAAGTGGTGTTATTGAGGCCAGCAGGGGGCGCCCAACCTGCGGTCTGCATGGGTCCTAATGCCCCAGTATAGTGATAGGGACTCTATACTGCTCAGTGAGCGCCGTCTTTTGGATGAGACGTTAAACCGAGGTCCCGACTCTCTGTGGTCATTAAAAATCCCAGGATGTCCTTCAAAAAGGAGTAGGGGTTTAACCCCGGCATCCTGGCCAAATCTGCACTGAAAAAAACTATTCAAAGATGATTTCTTGAATTTACTCAATTTTTTTATGTTAAGTGGTTGTAAACAATTTATTTGTGCTGAATTTAAACAAACTAATTAAGTTGAACATTATTAAACTTAATTTGCTTGTTTAAATTCAACACAGACAAATTGTTTGCAACAGTTCTTCATTCAACACTTTTTTTTCGGTGTGCCCACTGGCCTCTGTCCATCATGGCCTCCTAATCCTCCCCATATCATAATTGGCTTCATCACTCTGTCTCCTCTCCACCGATCAGTTGGTGTGTGGCGAGCTGTCTGGTGCAAAATGCCTGCCGTTGCGTCATTCAGGTGGATGCTGCACACTGGTGGTGGATGAGGAGATTCCCCCCAATGTGTAAAATGCTTTGAGTGCCCAGAAAAGCGCTATATAAATGTAAGGAATTATTATTTATTATTATTATTATTATTAGAATCAAGCTGTAATTCTTATTAAAAGAAGGGGACAATGACAACGTTTTATACATCGTTTTATACATCAAGTCATACAAGATCAAAAGAACAGGTATTATTTGATAATGTTTTATCGTTGACATTGGTAATACTAATTTTTAATCATTCACTTTTCTCAGATGTCAGTGGAGCTTTTTCACAAGACTGTTATGACACGCTTAACGGTCATGAGCATCTTAAATCCTCAAGTTTTTAATACTTGGATTTTAAAAAAAATGTACGGACATTTTTATGTATTTATGTATGTAGTATATCATATTTGCATCAAATTACAAAAAAAAAAAAACACAAATTATTGCTTGTGTTTGTAATGCAGAGTTTACAGAAGTAGGACCGTTGTTCTTTCTTCTTGCTGCCATTATCAGTCTTGATAACACCACAGTTTTTTTCTTTTATTATTTCAGCAAATAGGATTTAAAAAAGAATATTTGTTGTTCTCTCCCATTTTCTGCACTCTAAGATCACCAACTGTGCTGACTGAGACACCCGGTAATCTGAAAAGGGTTCATAAAGCTCTTCAGGCTGATCTGACTTATTCGGTTATGAAAATAAAAAGAACCTTGCAGTCTTTCCTCTAATTTTGACTCAGTCAGATTATATAATACTTTATATTCTCCATCTTGATGTAATCCTAATCTTGGAAGTACAATTTTGGAGCCTGCACTAATCATACACTGCAGTTATTATGTAAAGCTCAGCAGCTCTAACTAGCCAAAGTCTTCAGATTCATTCTGACTCATCAAGTCGTGTAATGTAATGTAATCTAGCATTCATGTGTGGTTTATTGTCTGTATTTTGTTTATTTTTTTAAGATGTTTTTAATTTTTCATGTATTTGAAATTATGTTTGGTAATGTTTTATTAATTGTTTTGACCTTGGGTGTTTAAAAAGGTGCCATTTATATGTAAAATGACTTATTCTTATTATTTGATTTAATGTATGTCAGTATTGACAAATCCTGGTTCATTTTACAACGACCGTCATCAGGTAGAATTGCAAGTAATTTATCAAATTCTGAATTTAAAAAAATGTGTTAGCGCTGTCGCCTCACAGCAAGAAGGTCACTGGTTCGAGTCTTGGCTGGGCCAATGGGCATTTCTGTGTGGAGTTTGCATGTTCTCTCTGTGTTGACGTGGGTTTCTACCACAGCCCAAACACATGTGCTACAGGGGAATTGAATGAACTAAATTGGCCGAAGTGTTTGTGTGTGAATGTGAGAGTGTATGGGTGTTTCCGAGAACTAGTTTGCGGCTGGAAGGGCATCCGCTGCGTAAAACATATGCTGGAAAAGTTGGCAGTTCATTCCGCTGTGGCGACCCCTTATAATTAAGAGACTAATCCGAAGGAAAACTAATGAATAAATGATTGATAAGTTAACTTAATTCCTTTATGTTGCCCCAACACAAATGGATTGTGCATAACCCAGCACTTCTTAAAGTGTACTTCCCTATTATTACTGAAACACAGTGTCCTTGCCACAGTGTGAGTTTCTGACCTCAACTTGAACAAGTAGCAAACTCAGCTCCACTTCTCATGAGCTGACCCTTTTTCTACCTCATTTCCTCTTTATCACCATCAAAGCCTGCGGTTGAGAGATGGATTGTGTTTGTGCCTCTGTGGGTGGGAGTTTGTGTCCGTAATATGTGTGTGTGTGTCGTCCCTTGGGTGTATGTCATCTGCAGGCCATCTTTCCTTGCCTCCACCCTCCTGGTAAAGTCAAGCGAGACGTTCTCCAGAAGTGTTGACTCAACAGCGATGTTATAATTAGACGCAAAGTGACACAAATTAGTTTTGCTGATGATTTTCTTGCCTGATAAAAGACGAAGGTTATCCATACCGTGGCGGCAGACAGTCTATAGTCAAAGAGTCTCTCATGAATTCCTCTAGGTTATCAAGATAACAGCACTACAGTCTGATGATTTCTATGGGAGTCTTTTAACATCGCTTAAAGGTCTCGTGAAGTGTTTTGAAATGTGCATTTTTTTATTCAGTGTTTGATGTAATTTCAACTAAAACACAAAGAGAGGGCGGGACATGGACATAGTGTAGCTCCTCCCCTT